AGAAAAATCTTTTTGATCAAACTCATTTTATATTAAATTTAAAATTAAATCATTTAAAAATAATTTTGTTATAATTTAGTCAATTTAATTAACTTAAAAGCCGCTTGTCCTAATTCAAAAGGCACTTAGATGACTGGTAAACAAATTCTAAGGATGAAATTCATAAAAAAAAAAAGAAATTAAAAAAAAGGAATTGGGAAAAAAACTCTTTAACTGTTTATATAAAAAGCGAAGCTGATATATAGGGGTAATCACGATCCATAGTTATGAGAGAATGTGATGTCTTTGTTAAAATGTACACAACTATCTTGAAACTCAAGATGTCTTGGGAAGAGGAGTTTGATATTCCACTTATAATAACGTTGGACACCTGAGTCCGTACAGAATTGAACATGACACGTTCCTAGGTGGGACTAACTTTACTTTTCATATAAAACGGTGTTCAGACCATCTACTAGATGTCATATGGTTTATATATTATTATAGATTTATAGAAAAAATAAAAAAATATTATATAAAAAAATTATTACACTTTAAAATCATATAAACAACACACTACCATTTTACTGGGGGAAAAGCTATGTAGCTTTTCCCCACAGTTTTTTTAAGTAGCTATATTTCTATCCCAGCTCCCTCCTTTTATGTGAAAAGTTTTGTCTCAATGATGTCTCCTGGGTGCCATTTACCTCACGGAAAACACCTGTCATCAAAATTTACCCTTTCAAATGTTTCCCCTCCACTTCGAAAAGTAAAGGTAATCCAATCATCTACCCTTTGACAAACTTCTGTTACTTGCCTTCCATGGCAAGCAAAGCATTGCTAGTGGAATGCAACCTCTTAACTTCCTATTTAATTGCTCTTGAAAAACTTTATCCTTCCACGCACGGGCGATGGCTTCTTTCGCCAACTCCCAAAGTGCTCTATTGACTTTCTCAATGCACTACCGAATGCCGAGGATAGGGAAAGCGAGATAATGGCAAGTTATTTGAGTATTGACTAGCTCAACGCAATAAGTAACCTACAGCCCAAAATCCAGTTCTTAGTGGTACAACAAAAGGTATATCAAAGAGCTGGTCCCAAAAACTCCGCACGCTTGTAATTGCCAGCATAAGATAAAGTTTCCAAGATCAAAATTGTATGCTGATATAACAGGTAAAAGGATTTGTTACTCGTACGAATAGAAAAGGCAAATGAGGGACCATTTTGCATGCACAACAAGCAGACTGAATCCAGTCATTAACTGCTAGAGATGCTTCTTAGAGAAACATTCCTCATCCAACACCAAAAGCAACAATCTATGATCATTATGCTAGCTTTCTGATCAAAGCATTTTTCTTCGAGAAACATTCGTCATCCAACACCAAAAGCAACAATCTATGATCATTATGTTAGCTTTCTGATCAAAGCAAACTTACCGCATCGTAGTGTAGATGGAAAGTGGAAGGTGTGAAACTCAATTTGTTCCAGTCAGACGGACTTTCGCACATAGCTGGATTGCGCGATGACTGACCTAATAAAGGCATTTGAGTGAACTAGCAGTAGAGCTCAGTTTTTATCTACTAACCAGTATAAATATACTACAACTTTTAGCTGGTTACGTTCACATAGACAATTTATTTCCAGCAAATTAACGGCCTGGATGCTCCATAAATCATAGTAAAATCTACATAACAGAGGAATGGCTTGCTCAAGTTCATGGCCCAACAGCAGCTGTGAGTTACTCAAGTGTTAATGGCACGCAAATGTGTTAATAAGTTCCTATAATTTAACAAACTGCGAAAATCTTCACGAAAAAGGGAATTCTAGCATCTAAACATCCAAAACTACCGATTCATCAATCAACTGTGCTAGACACAAACACACAAAAAAGATGAACAAATGCTGTGGCACAGGGAAATAAAAAGAAATGGCTCTTCAAATTGCTTATTGGCTATGCATTTGCCATTTACAGAAGATGTGTTCAAGGGTTTCCAGGACAAAGAACCCAATTTGATTATGGAAAAACCATAGTTTTACTAGTTGCCGCGGTTAAGGAACACAAAACAGGAAAGAAGTTACCGTTCCAGATAAGAAATAATAAGAACCATACAAACAAGAAAACTGTCGTCTTTCTCATTACTAAAGCTAAACTGTTAGAGAATTCACAAACCAGAGTAATCTCAAAAGAATATAACTTACAATCCTTCCACTATCACTGCATTTTGTTCCTTTTCAAGTATCACTATGAATCAACACCTAATTTACACATTTCCATCTATGAGTAACAACAAATAAATATGTAAATAACTAACTAAAAATACAATCCAAGAAACCATTAGTTCATATAGATCAAAGTTCAAGTAAGAGACTCAAACCGCGAAATCCCATTTCTTTGCTCCAACCTCAAAAGCTTTCAACAATGCAATCGCTTTGCTCTTCCCTTTCGCGGTCCCATTCTCCATCACATCCTTGATCCCCTCCACTGCGCCCGGTCTCATTTCCTTCACCTCCCTCATCACTCCTCCCCCTCCACACCTCACCAAATTCAACAATGCCCCAACCGCATTCTCCTTAGTCCTCTCGCTCGAACCCGTCCCAACATCCAACAAGTCCTCCAAAACCTTAACCCCCGAAACCTTCCAAAATGCTCTCTCACTCTCCTCACACCCTGCAATTTGCGCAATCACCGCCGTCGTATCCTCCACAATACCCACTCTCCCATCCTTCATAACCAGCGAAAACAACGCCCCCACCGCACCTAAATCAATCAAACCAGCCCGATTCAACGGAAACAAAGCAATCCCAAAAAGGGCTTTCAGCGCATCCTTTATAGACCTCGGCGGCGAATTAGGCCTCTTGATTATTTCAATCAAGGAATAAGCAATATCACGCTTAGCCCCAATAATGGGTCGGTAAGAATCATCAACAAGGAGGCTGTACAACGTAGCAGCAGATGATTGGACAGCTGAGGGTGAAGAATTGGTAGCATGGTGGCGGAGGACATGAGAGATCGCGTCAAGAAGGCCGCGCGTTGACATCAAGGGGGCGCGTGAAGAAATAGAGATGTTCAAGAGAGTAGCAGCTGCATTATCTTGTGAGTCGTGAGAAGAAGAATAAAGGGTTTCGGCTAGATAGGGGATGGCACCGGCTTCGGCAATTATCAGCCGTGATTCCGCATCGTTTTTGGTCATTAAGCGAAGCTCAGCTAAGGCTTCTGACCGTGTTATCTCGGACACAGAACCTAGTTTTTGAACTAGTGAGCACGCTGTCCTGTGCTTGACTTCCATACTGTTTCGGACACAGGTTGATTCAGGACAGGAGCTTTTCTAGGCTTCAAGATGTCTGGTTAAGGAAGTAGATAAGATTGGAGAGGGTTTTTGAAAATGAAAGGAGGACGACCTTTTCAATTAAGGCTGGTTGGTTTGACATAGAATTTCAAGCCACCAAACCGAACTGGTTTCACATGGTTAATAAACTAAACCCTACTGTTTTTCTCGCTTCGTGTAGCTGGCACGGTCTTGGTGCGTCATTTGCTGCCAAATTTGTAAGTAGCTTGTTGTCATGTCCTTTCTAGGCTGAGAAAACAGAAATGTATGCAGGGTTGGCTATATATTCGGGATCTATCCGCAGTTATGTGTTTCTCTTCTCGGTAAATTACGTTTTAAATTGCGGTTATCCAAGTAAAAAAAACTATACCGCGTATATGGTATTTAAAAATATAATAACAATAATAATTTAAAATATTTTTTTTATTTTTAAAAAATTATTGTTAATATTAATATATCAAAATGATATAAAAAATATTTTAAAAAAATTAAATAAAAAAATATTTTTTAAATTTAAAAAAAAATAAATAAATAAATATTTTTTTTTTAAACATGATTTCAACCACATTTCTAAACACTATTTAAATTTAGTTTGAAATTTTATCATACTAAAAATAAGACTGATAAGTCATTATAAAATTACTTTCAAATAATTTTTTTTAATTACAATAATATTATTTTGAATAAAAATTATATTATTTAAAAAAAAACAATAAAAGTAACTCAAGCAATTTTTACTCTAACTTAATTGGATTAATCAAGTTACCAACTAATCTACTAAGTTAATTATTAAAAATTAAATTTATTTTATCAATATAAATAAATAAATAAAACTTGGATGAAGTTTTAAATCAACAAATCCTCGAGTTGAGCTTGGTTTAAAATTTTAGGACTAACGAATTAACATTTCCACAAAATGGAATAAAAATGAAAATTTTCCTGAAAAACACATGAAATACAAAGGAGAGTGTTCTAAAGAAAGAAGAAAGTAGTTTCTCAAAAACTATTTTTCGGAAAACAAACATAGCCTAAATCATTCGGAAACGAGATTGTCAATTAATGCATTCACCGATTCTCATAAATTTTCTGGAAAAAACACCTAATCATTCCACAAGTCTTTGATATCACAATATCTGTCAACACATGAAGCATGCCAATGGTCTATCAACCAATTTACGGTGATTGCAGGCAATCAGAAGATCGATGTATTAATTATGATTAGTATATGTATAAATATGGCATGTCGATATATCTTTTGTTATATATATACACATTCACCTTCCATTTTATATATTTAGCGTAAAGTCCATTGACTGTATAGTCTCCAGCCATTTAAAATGAAATCTAAATTTCCCCTGCATCTATAAAGGACGTCGGTGGAAAAGTAGAAATTTGGAGAGAACGCAGGCTCGCAGCATCCTGCATGATGTTTTTAGCCTGCAGGTTTGCAAGGGCAAGTTGAAGTGGCAAGGATAAGTAAGGTAGGTAATTGGAGCCGTTGGGGGATGTTTTAGACTTTTCGTTCGTTGAGATGACATTGGGCTTCAGCAAGCCTGGATATCAATTGCATGTAGAGGCAAACCCATCTTTGTCTATGTTCCAATCGGCCCTGTTTATGGTGCCTGTCATGATGGTTTTGGTCGGCTCAAGCTGAAGATCGTAACTTTGAAATTCAGATGCAAATGCGAGAATCTCGAAGCTTTAATAGTTTAGAAACTTCTAATGATCTTTAATACTTGTAGACATGAAATCTCAATCATGAAACTAAACTGCTAATGATGTTACATGGCCAGATCAATGGAGGAGCGATCACTAAATCACAGCACTCGGAGAGAAAGAAAAAGGAACGCTACGACCATGAAGCTGCGAGAAGTAAAAGGAATCGACGTAAGTTGCTTTGATTTTCTCTCATATTTCTGTAAATTAAAGCTGGAAATGGAACCTGAAGCATGAGATTATAACCTTCTCCAGCAGGTCACAAAGCAATTCTGTAATCATACTTTATGGAGGCGATGTGTGAGATGAACGCCCACTGATGCACAAATACCGAGGATTAGAGCTGCCACGCAACAGTCTTTCGGGCAGACACTCGAGAGCTTGAAAAATTTCAATCGTGATATGTGTAAGCATAGTTGGCAATCCCATCTCCGGGAATGAACTTGCATACTCGGACACCCCTGAAATTCCAGGAAGGTCAGAGATGATGGTTTGTGCAGCTCTTGGGGTAAATTCTCTAATACTTAACAACTGTATATCTGCAACTTTTGAAGAGAACTCAGGTGCTGCAATCCAGCTTGGTTGGACAACTTGGTGATGTCACCACAACCATCAATGACTAAATCTTCCATTTCTGTCAGGGGTTGCAAAAAGCCAATGGCTAAATCAAGAACAAATTGGGCTAAATCACTGATGAGGTCATGCACAACATAAATTCATCATTGCAACTTGACTTCGAAAGAAAGAACTAGATAATAGATCACGAAAAGACTCATCCCCTACTTCTTCCATTTTCTTCTGCCTCCTCGGTTGCCTGACAAGACCTTCTGCCATCCATAACAAGACAAGCTTATCTCTATCAAATTCGAAACCCTTAGGGAAGACTGAACAATAAGCGAAGAATTACTTAATTTTTTTTTGCCTTCTGAAACCGCTAATATCATATTAGAGGGGGCAAAATTGTGAGATTTTCACTTTTCCCTTTTTAGCTATGGAGCTCGGGAGATTTATCCCGAAACGACCCATTAGGCTTGCCCAATTCCAACTAACATTGGGCTAATCCCTCTTTTATTCTTGAGGAGATATCCCATAGCCCCACAAACCAAAACGAAGCTAGGGACATTGAACCAGCTTCCAGCAAACCATACCAGAGTTATGGAACGAGCCTCCTATGCCCCAAACTTCCCCCTTCTGTGGACCTCACCAGGGGATTCTCGCGCAAATGTATAAAGCCCCTAATGGCATAGTTGTTAGATCCTACTACGACTGACCCGAAAAAAACTATCGGATTATTGAGTTATAGGTTACTAATATTTATTTAAATAATATTTTTTTGGTTTTTAATAGTTATAGATTAATAATAACTTGTAAATCAAGTTGGGTTGAGTTAAATGAGCTATTAAAATCTTGATCGAATTAGTCTAATTTTATTCTGTTAATATCTTATATGGTTTAACTAGAAATCCAAATTTAAATTAGACTTCAATATGAAGTTTCATGAATTAACTTACTGGGTTAAAATAGGCTTAACAATACTTTTAATCGTTGAAAAACTTAATTTTTAGACTATTGTTAATTCACTGTTTAAATTCTTGTATATCCATAATGAAATGTAAAATTAAACCTTCAACAAAGAATTACTTAAATTTTTTTGCCTTCTAAAACCATTAATATCATATTAGAGGGGGCAAGATTGTGAGATTTTCACTTTCCCTTTTTAGCTATGGAGCTCGGGGAGATTTATCCCGAAACGACCCTTTAGGCTTGCCCAATTCCAACTAACATTGGGCTAATCCCTCTTTTATTCTTGAGGAGATATCCCATAGCCCCACAAACCAAAACGAAGCTAGGGACATTGAACCAGCTTCCAGCAAACCATACCAGAGTTATGGAACGAGCCTCCTATGCCCCAAACTTCCCCCTTCTGTGGACCTCACCAGGGGATTCTCGCGCAAATGTATAAAGCCCCTAATGGCATAGTTGTTAGATCCTACTACGACTGACCCGAAAAAAACTATCGGATTATTGAGTTAATTTATGAGTTATAGGTTAATAATATTTATTTAGATAATATTTTTTTGGTTTTTTTTAAATATTATGATAACTTGTAAATCAAGTTTGGTTGAGTTAAATGAGCTATTAAAATCTTGATCGAATTAGTCTAATTTTATTGTGTTAATGTCGTATATGGTTTAACTAGAAATCCAAATTTAAATTAGACTTCAAATATGAAGTTTCATGAATTAACTTACTGAGTTAAAACAGGCTTAACAATACTTTTAATGGTTCAAAAACTTAATTTTTAGATTACTGTTAATTCACTGTTTGAATTCTTATATATCCAAAATCTTCTAAGCCATTACATAATGAAATGTAAAATTAAACCTTCAATCACAAACAAAGAGAGAAAAAATAAGATTGAACAACTACGTTTTATTGATAGAGTTTCAGAATATTTTCTAAAGGGCAAGTCTTGAAACACGCTACAGTCAACCAGTGAGGTGATACAACCCTCTAAGATGGATCAGCAACTTATAAAAAAAAAAAAAGGAAAGGAAAGAAAAGTAGAAACACACACCAATACAGAGAACCCGTGACAACAAGAACAAAAACCTACAAAATAACATCAATTTTGTCTCATGCTACCTTACCTTTCACCTTTTCTTAAGTTAGTGACAAGTCCTAAATAGTGTCCAAATATCCCACCAAGCAAGACTTGGAATTAACCCCAAGAACGAGAAAGAAAAGCTACCAAAATCAAGAACATTGCTCACGAGCCACACCAAGCCTTGAACGGGGCACATCGAAAAGAATCCTGTGGTTTTGTTGCTGCATGCTGGCTATTACGTTCAGCACCGAATTCACATTATCAGGGGCAGCAGCCATGGCCAAGCAAGAGGTGACCCCAGCAGTGCTGTGGATTAGCAGGTTTTCTCGTGGCATTGTTACGTTCATGCCTGAGAACATGAATGTTATGGTGGGTGCTACAATGGGTACTGAGTAACATGTGTCGAACCCGCCTAGGGATGACACTGTTGCATTGCCAACTCGCTTCCTGAACTCATTGCGGACCGCAATGTAAGCCGGGGCAACCAGTCTGGTGAAAACAGTGCCTGAGAAATGAACAAAAATTGAATATCAATTATGATCCTAACCAAGTCATTAAAGTCGGTCTGGTCCGAATCTCAATTCAAAATAACATCGTTCATGTTCATGGATTAACTTGCCGGATCATAAAATTTAACTGGTCAATCTTTACCTGGTTTAATTTAAAATTGATACAGTCTCAAAACAGCCGGGCCAGATCTAACAAATCAGGCATTTTGAAAAAATAGATTGTTTTCTTGGAACCCTACAGTATCCAATCAGAATGATAAGCACGGCGTATTTTTAGGTCATTGGTTTGTGATTTGTGAAGCATTGCGAGGACAATATGACACTCTTGGCCCACGTCAGAATTTTTAGATGCTTTTGACTAATGCTGTGTGCTAATGCATGTCACTATTTTTTTGTCCTCATTTGATGATTGAGGACCAAATGCAGTTTAGTCGAACCTATTAGGATCTGAAAGCTGGAAGGCACAACGTGCCAATAACAGCCTCTAGGCCTGATCTTCATAAATTGAGAATAAATCTTAGTCTTTTCCATTTGGGTTTAGCTTGTTGATATTCTAGCTAATTAGAAGAGATTTGTTTTTCGGTCTAGCATCACGATCTACCGAATGAACTGAGAGATTCGTGCCAAAAGGGGCATCAAGACAGGAATGTTTCATAAGAATACAGGATAAAGTAAGTGATGGGTGAAGCATTACCTGAATCAAAGATGGTCCCAGCACCAGTTGTTGGATTGAATGCCAGAGCACTACGAGGAATATCAACAATCTTTCTGCCAACCCTAATTCCATTCAATTTCACATAGTATAATGATGATCTCCTTGGGTTCTTGAGCAGCAGAGTGGTCTTGATCCTCCGGGGCTGACCGACTGGTCCGAGCCTCAATGACCCAGAAAAGTTGAGAGTCCTAAAGCTCGGTAAGCAGTACGAGAATGTGGATTTGTATAGGTTTTGGGTTTGAGACAAAAACGACAACGGACCTCTCCCGAAGCCCAAAAGTCCCTGAGGTGGTACTGAGTTCCCTGTGGCTTTTTGGATGCAACCGAAGGCGTAGTTAGGGACAGGATCCATGGATAGAGCAATTCTGTCTTGTGTGAGGTTTGATAAAATGGTGGAGCTGCCATAGGTAGTGTTCCATGTGCATGTGCTGCCACCGCAGATGGGGTTTGTTACCTGCAATTTTACAAGCATTAAAGTTAGCATATCCATGCATATGTATGTAATCAGGTAATGAAGGTAATGATCCCTCATTTGGAAAGTAGTTTTCTTGGTGTTCTTTGTCCCGTGAACTTTTTGACAGATAGGAACCTGTCAGTTATCATTTCGAAGCTTTTGTACCGATCAAGAAATAAATAATGCGTCATCTCCGTTTTGCCCTTAGATGTTTTCTCACAGTATGGGACCTTGAGCTTGACACATTTGCAATATTCTATCTACTACAATGGCAAAAATGAGTCACAATTACCTGCTTGCATTGAGGAGCTCTACAACCAAGGGTTTTGAAGGTAGTGGACTTCAGAGTGTTAAACACAGTAGAGGAACACCCAACACAGCCTTTGCAAGGAATCCAAGCAGCATCGTAGCTATTATCTAAAGCCATGAGCAATGTCTGAGGTGGGGTCCCAACCTTAGCCTTAACAATGTAAGATGGGCTCTGAATAACCCCCCTGCCTGAAGCAATCGGCACCACAGATTTCCTGGCCACTAAGCTTGACAAGAATTGAAGCCTAGCTTGATCTTTGGCCATCATTTGGAGCACACTCTCTTCCCATGATATTGGCTTTGAGGGCCTAAACGGGGACTGTGAGCTGTAGACATGGAAGACCTTGACGGTTGTGCCTAGGCCTTCGGTGCTGAGCCCTTGGGCCAAGGAACAGAAGAGAAAAGCTAGAGAGAAGAGGTAGGCTTTCATGGTTGCGAAAGAAAAGGAGCTTTGAGGGTTTAGGGACTGAGAGGTCATGTGTGTGGTATATATAGACGGGGGAGGGTAATGTCAAGCAGGGTGCCATGTAGAGGGTAGAAATAATGTAAGAGTGAGAGGTTGTACGCTAACAGACTGTATTCCATTTCCTCTTGCAGGCTGGACCTCTGATCCTGCCCTTCTCAATTTCCTACTAGCTACATATAATATTTCTTTGTTATTATATATTTTATTTGAGAACTTAGATTTGGAATGATTTGGGATGCGCTTGATATAGTTAATTATCCATGATGTGAAAAAAATAGCTGGCTTAGTGACAAACAAGGGACCTAGGCAGCTCCATATGAGCCCATGAGGGGGGGGCACAAGGTAGCCTTTAGAGCTCTTAATTGTTTGTATTTTTGTTATGAAACAGAATGACCACCCTGTAGAAGATGTAGTGCTACACTAATGATGATTAGAGAGGGAAGAGGCATAGGCAAGATCGACGGAGTCATGTTAGCAACAAAGCCAAAATGTTGGGATATTTTATGTACCCTTGTTATAATCCACAAAAATCTCTTGAAAAGACACCATGGTAGTTTCCCTCAAAAACATCACTGTTACCTACAGCTTTGTATGATCTAGATCTTTCCCAGTTTTCTTCTAAGGTTTTTACATCAGAAAAACTAGTGGATTCACCATCTGCGAAGTGTAAAAAGGATTTTGCACAGAGTGAATGTCAAGCAGGGAAACAAATAACTCAACTGGCCTCCAATACCCATCTAGGAATCTACTCTTGTTCGATTGGAAAATTTGATGCGGTAGAAAATGAAAATGCTTTAATTTGTTTGACTTCGTTAGCACATGGATTCTTCATCAGATTGTTGAATCATAGTACACGTACCAGTCTTAAAACACAACATTTCCCAGATCAGTCACAGCAATTTCACTAAACACTTGATTGACAGGCATGACAACATAATGACCAAGTGATATGCAAAGTTAATTTTTCATTTCTTTCCTTTTTCTAATTTATACCATAATTTTTTAATATTGCAATACAAGGTGTTTTTAAACATCAGCACATCTAAATCACCAAAAACACTAGAAAATCATTAATTTAATATTTTTTAAAATAAAATCAATTTTAAAATGCTATGTTCAATCATGCATACAGGTTTTTGTCGTGCTTGCAAATTTTCCAGGCCTTGTTAGCTTTTTGTAATATATGTAATTAACCACATCATGCCACTCTGAGAAAATGATGAGGACATTGTCATTTTCATTGCCTTAATGTGATGGGCTCAGCCAGGGAAGCATATGCTGACTGATATATTCTTTAGCGATAGATAGAATATGCTTTCGTTCTTTCTTTCTTTTTGGCTTTAGTCTAAAGAATAGTGTATGATATTGGTGATGAAATGCTATGAAAGACTACGGATGTTAAAAAAATAAAAAAAAGGTAAAATGCAGCACTTGCCCCCATCTTTCCACTACAGGAAAGTTGGGTGAGATGTCAGAGGCCATCCAAAGATATTTCTCGATCAAACCAAAATAATAAAATATTGATTCTTTAAGAATCGCACCTTATAGTTGTAAGTCGAGGATTGACAGTCAATGATCTGGAAAAGTCATCATAATTTTCTGTCAGTCTAATAGAAATGGTTACAATAATAGTTATGGGGCCATTTATGGAGTGTGTTGCTGGGTGAGTATATTTTAAAGGTGAATTTAAGTTGAAAAAAATATCAAATTAATTATTTTTTAAAATATTTGTTATAGTTTTAGCTTTCTGATATTAAAAATTAATATATATATTTCAATAGAGAAATGCCCCAATCAATCTCAATCTCATGCTATAAATTTAATTTTATTTGAGGTTATGATTTCTCAATTAGAAGTGAGATCTAGACTAAATTAAATAATTAACATAATAAGAACAAGTTGAAAAATGTTTAAGAGTCTGACATAGATTTTATAAAATTAAAAATAAATTATTTAAAAAAAAATTATATTTTTTATTGTTTTAATATACTAATATCTGATATTAAAAATTAATATATATATTTCAATAGAGAAATGCCCCAATCAATCTCAATCTCATGCTATAAATTTTATTTGAGGTTATGATTTCTCAATTAGAAGTGAGATCTAGACTAAATTAAATAATTAACATAATAAGAACAAGTTGAAGCGCTCTTTTTAAGAGTGTTTAAGAGTCTGGTATAGATTTGATAAAATTAAAAATAATTTTTTTATATTTTTTATTATTTTAATATGATGATATTAAAAATAAATTTTAAAAATTAAAAAATATTTTAATATATTTCTAAAAATAATTATTTTAAAAAATAATCGTTGTTATGATTCCAAGCCATTCAAAAAAATACAGCATGTAATGGTAACTAACATGATTATCCAATCTGAATAATTAAAAACTATTTGAGATAAAATTGCGGTGAGATGTTGTTTTAATTTTTTTATACAACACATTTAACGCGCAAAAAAGCTACCATCTGAAGCAATTTTTTTCTAATTTTGAGCATGGCATGCTGTTCGTTTAAGGGGAGTTCTTGTTTCTTTCTTCTGAACTTTTGACAGTGAAATTTCTTGGTTCAGCAATCTCAGCTCTGTTTTGGGTCAAATTATATCCTGTTTTTCTGTCCACTGGATATTGACATGACTCTCGTGCAAGCTAGGTACAATTGCATACGACTGCTTGTGAGTGAAATAATCAAGAAACAAAAATAAATTATGCTCTTAAAAATTGGATAACTGTATCTCTTTTTCTCAGATATATTAGATGAATTTAATCCTTATAATTATTTAATGATGGAAGACTATAGTACATGAACTCATTATATTCATCACTAATACAGTCCCTTTAATGTCCCCGAGAAACAGAAGAAGAAGAAGAAGAAATCTTTTTAATAACAATCTCATCAATCTCATAAGTATCATATTAAATTTTACCAATTGAATCATTTTTTCAAAAAATACAAGATGTCTAAGTCATATAAATAAAGAAATTTATTCATAGATGAACTAGGGTTTCCCGTGTTGTGTCCTTGAGAATTTGAAATACTTGGGAGAGAAGAAGCCAATCATAGAGCCTATCTCTTCCCGAGAAAAGATGGAAAGAAGGGTGCTTGTCCGTGAAGACGATGTCGGTTTCTTTGGATCCAAAGAGATCACATGTATAGTCTAAAAACTAAAGTCAGGTTTTTAGGTGTACCAAAGGGCCAAGAGAAGCACTGTTTGATATGCCCACAGTCATTGGCATTATGCATTCGTACCCTTTTTTTCAGTCGTATACTCTTTTTTATTTGTTCTTTCTACATTGATTTTATTCTATATTAAATTTGATGGTTTATTTGGGTTAATTTATCATGAGATTTTCATAATATTAGAAAAAGAAATTATTGTTATGGGGTTAACACCCAATTTATTTATTCTTATTTTCCAAAAGATTAGAAATATAAGGACTATAATTTTCAAAAGATTAGAAACTTAAGCCACACTGAAACGTCAAGAACATTCCAACATATATGCTAGAAAAGGTCTCCACTGGAGCTTGGAAAAACTCATACCGGCAAGGGAGATTGTGCAACAAAGCTAGCTGCTCCGTCGAGATCAACAGAAATGATAAACCAGCTATTAATCTCGGAGCCAAATCTGGAGATAGTATATTTTCGACGGGAAAAAGTTATAACATGGATCACGAAAAAAGCAATGTACTTTATACCATCAAATATTAAAGTGAGACAGCACATGTGAATGCTGAATAATATTTTTTTTCTCCTCGTGAAGAAAATTTATGGTTTCCCTCTTTCCACGGGTAAAGATTTTAACCAAAATAATGTTAGAAAAATCAGTCTCACCGACAACTTCTTGATGCTTGGTGGTCCAGATGGTGATTCACGAGTTTACATGCCCTAATTAAATGCAATCGATCTTGAGTGCTCAAAAACTTCTATTAGAGGTGTAGGTGCTTGAATTCACCATTGAATACCATTCTAATTATCGAAGTAGGGCTATTTTGGGTTTTAGCACAAAAAATTAAAATATTAACTAAATAACATGGCTGCAAAAAATCTTAGCAAAATAACACAGTTATTGCTTGTCGCGGTTTCAAAAACATGGTATATAAAAAAGCTATAATTAAAAAACACTATATTAAATAAATATCACATTTTAGAACTGTATTATTTAATTATTGCATTTTAGAACCGCGAGAACCACCAAGACACGGTAACGAAGATTTTACTTCGTGATAGGATAGATTATCACATTTTTTTAACTGTAATATCCATGAATATTATAATTAAAAAACATGATAGACTAAAACTATGCTACTTCACCGATTCATTCTCAAACTGTATTATTCCATCAATATTTTTATTTTAATGTTCTATTTAAAAAAAAATCAAAATAGAGACAGTTTTGACCTTATAGATTCATATGAGGATGCGAATTTATTTATTAATCCACTGATTGATTCATAAATGTGACTAGATGTTTAGCCATGATTTCTCTCTTGTTCTATAATCAAGTCATTAACTTTCAGAATTAGAAATCCTTTGCATGAATTGTGGCTTTGGATACTTGTAAACTAATTGATTCTGGGTCTAGAAACAGGGTTCCAGCCTCCGGGTTTATGGTGAGGCAGCAGAAGCCAAGTGAGGCAAAGCATCAATGAATTAATGGTAAATCATTTTAATATGATTCTTTGACTCTGAGTGTCCTTGAAATCGCAAGCCAAATTAATGCTGCCTTAGTCCAAGCTACTAATCGAACTGAATTTTGCTACAAAATATTAGCTTCTTGAGATATATAACTTTGACTATCAATCCCACTTGAAAGAAGAAATATATTTTTTTCTCTAATGTCAATTTAAAAAAGAAAAAGAAAAAGAAAAAGAATTGAAGCATGCATGCAAGCAAATATAAAGAAGTAAAAAGGAAGCAAGGAACCCTACTTTCAACATTAATAGCCTACTTGCCACTTGATATTCAGCTGAGGTGACAAAACATCTCGAGAAGAACCAGCTAGCCCTAAGTTTGAGCTGTTTTAGAGGGAGTTATTATTTATTGTCGACCTCCATGGTAGAATTAATCAGCCAGGGCTTGGGAGGAATACAAGCCTTGTCCAACTTGCCCACGAGACCTAGCTGGAAGCCCTAGATCGGCTCATTTCCAGGCGATTTGCCTACATCTTTCTTGTTCATTGTAATGACGAGGTTAACTTAATTTCAATACAAATGAGAAAATATGATTTGCTTGCAAACATAACAACTAAATAAAAATCATGTATGCCGTCGTACTAAAGTTATTGGTTACTTTTGTTCTTGTCATGTAAAATAAGTAAAGTCCATCTATTTAGCTATTTTAGTTATAAAAATAAATTAGATTTGATATTATTCATGATAACGAAAATCATGAAAGACAAAAAAACCATTGAAGTTCCAAGAAAATAGGAAAAAAAACAAGTGAATATGTTATTTCCAATAACTTAACACCTTGCTTATTTCTTTTTTTAAAGGATATTTAGAAATATGGTAACAAACTTTAAAAAGTACATTTTTATTTAAAAATATATTAAAATAATAATTTTTTATTCTTTTAAAAAATTATTTTTAGTCTATTAAAATGATATAAAAATATTAAAAATATAGTTTTAAACAAAAAAATTAAAATTTTGAGAAATACAGCACCATAATAATCTAAAATCTATTGCAAAGTAAGCGAGAAGGAGATGAAAGGAAATGAATAGATGTAGGCATGCCAGTCAAGAAAAGGGTTTGAATTTTTATATTCACCTTATTAACTTGGATTAATTATTTTTTTATTAAAACAAGTTTTGCTTTTTTTTAAAGTTGCTTGTTAAGGAAGTAATTATTTGGTTTGGATAAGTTAATTAAATTTGGTTTGGATAAGTTAATTAAATCATCGAAAACTTAACAGAGATAATCAAATTTTATTGAATTCAATATAAAATCTAGTTAAAATGAAGTTAAGAATTATAAATTTTCCTTATCAACTTGAAAAAAAAAAAAAAGAAGATAAATTAAGGGAACTTTCTGCAGGCTTGTTTGTCGTTACCTTTACTTTTTTTTAAAAAAAAAAATTCTTTTGCTGGAGATAATTATGATACACATGCTGCAGGGGAGTGGAGTGGTGTCACGTGAGCTGATTGCATTTGAGTGGTCTTCTCTCTTCTCTCTTCTCTCTTCCTCGGCCGACACAAACTCAAACGCTTTCATGTGCTGTGATTATGCCTTCTTACGCCACCACGAGCTTCTTCAACATGTTGGCAATTAATGTAAATCTAGGATTTGATGTTGACTGATCTTGTTTTATAAAAAAAAGATGGGTGCTTTCCCCTTAAAATAATAATAATAATTCTCCAAATCCCACTTGTGTACTCTTTGTGCATCCATGTTTGTTTATGGAATTGGCGTTGATGGATACTGACAGAGTCAATATATTATTGATAAAATTTCATTCTAAAATTGTTTTATAAATATTTATCTTATATCTTTCTCTAATTAAATATACTTTTATCCCTTTTGTATTTGTTTCTTTTATTGCGTAATGCTAACTAATTACAAGCAAATCTCGTTTTACTCATTAAACACCTATTACTTTATTATTTAATGCAATCATTTTATTTTTTGCACCATATATATGTATATAGATTTTGTCCAAAGTTTTTATCACGAATTGATGTGACTGGATTGTTTATAATAGAAAGTTGCACACTATTATTATAAAACAAGTATAAAGAAAAAGAAGTCTGTGAATATATTTCAACTAACTAAGTTATAGATTTGTTTTATAAAAATTATTAATTCAAATCTTATAAATTTTAATATTATAAAAGATTAAAATAACTTTAGAATCATTAATTTAAAGGTTTATAAAATTAATTAAAATAGATACAAGTTAGTCTAATATACACATTAAAAAAAAAGGGGGGAAGGGTGTTGATTTACAAATTATAATAGCCTCGAATGTGGCAAAGGCCTTGACTAGTTTTTGCATGCAAACGATAATTACGACAAGGATCGCTACAGAAGATGGAGTTATCCTGTAGAAATGATCATTTATTAATCATTTTTCTTTATTTCTCAGGATAATTCCATTTTAGCCTTCGAATGCCCCATGAAAGAGGTCCTACAAACCTGCTCGAGTGGGGGATTTCATAGCAACGTTGTATGGATGGATTGTTGCGGGCCAAGAATAAAAAATAGAAAAGAAAAGGACCCCCCAAAACGGCAACGTCTTGTGTCATATAATTTGAAGAGCTACAAATTAGAAAAGGAATCAAAGGTGTAGACTGGGAAAATGGGCTTGGCCCACCAATCCACTAACTAGAAATATCTAATGGGACCCAGCTCTATGACTATAAATGGAAGTTTCTCGTGGTTTGGTGCACTGAGCTTTCATGGGCTATTTTTTGTGGGGCCTGGTCTAGGCCTCATAATTAAAACTCATTTAAGTGGTGGAGTCCACAAGGATAGAGGGTACGGTTGTTTTGTGATTTGGTTTGAGTGGCGTAGACTGTACAACTATCAGTGTGTAACTGAGTTTCTAGAGTTACGACAGCTGTTTTTAAGTTTGGTGTTAGTTATCTTTTAAAATATTTTAGATATTAAAATAGTTTGAAAATAAAAAAAATTAATTTGAAATAAATAAAAAATTAAAATTTTTTAATGTACTTTTAAAATACAAAAACAAATAAATTTAAAAAATATACTTTCTATGCGGTGTTTTGTGGTCATATAATTTGAAGAGCTCCAAATTAGAAAGAGGAAGCAGAGGTGTTGACTGGGAAAATGGGCTTGGCCCACCAATCCACTAACTAGAAATGTCTAATGGGACCCAAGCTGTATCACTATAAATGGAAGTTTCTCGTGGTTTGGTGCACTGAGCTTTCATGGGCTATGTTTGTCGGGCCTGGTCTAGGCCTCATAATTAAAACTCATTTAAGTGGTGGAGTCCACAAGGATAGAGGGTACGGTTGTTTTGTGATTTGGTTTGAGTGGCGTAGACTGTACAACTATCAGTGTGTAACTGAGTTTCTAGAGTTAAGACAGCTGTTTTTAAGTTTGGTGTTAGTTATCTTTTAAAATATTTTAGATATTAAAATAGTTTGAAAATAAAAAAATTAATTTGAAATAAATAAAAAAATAATATACTTTTAAAATACAAAAAAAAAGAAATTTAAAAAATATACTTTCTATGCGGTTTTCACTCTGTCCAATTAATACTAATGGTTACAAAATAAAAGATATAATTGCTGTTTCAGAAGCTTTGTTCAGATGTAAAGACTTAGTTCGGTGCTCGTAAAAAACAAGGTTTCTTCGCATTGCGTCTGAAAAAACAAACAACAATATAATGGATTGCTATATGGATTGAAAGGCGAGGCATCCTGAACCAAGGGAGTAACGTCTGTCTTGTATATCCTCCCATCATTTCTGACATGAACTTGTGTCCGCCATGGCCACGATGTTCTATTTATCAAATTGTTTTTTTTTTCTATTTCGACACAGTAGCCAAAAGGCTACCCTGGTGCGCGGAGCACTTTACTGCCATCCCAAGCCAAGCCAGTGTAGGCAGCTCGCTTACTTATGTTATAATAGCTGGTAAGATTATATTATGATTTAGGTTGCCTTTCATTTGCCTCTCTTGGTTCAAGATTATAGTAGGAAGTTAACGAGCAGCCTACACTGGCTTGGCTCCTCTCACCAGGAAACTCCAGGCTTCAGGCATTTCTATGCCCCCACCGGAAAAAGTACTCTAGATTTCGGCCTCGATTTAGTTGCCGTGAGGTGCCTTCAAATAGACTTCGGTGTGGAAAATGACATACCATGCTCGGATTTCAGCTAGCATTGCCGACTCCCATTTTTCCTTTTAGTACGGGCGCAGTTTTTTAAAAGAGATGAAAATTTACGTTTCTTGTTTTCACGAGATCACGTCATAAGAGTCAGGCTATAGATATTGGATTTGATTTGGAACCAGAGGGCTAGAGCCGTTAAGTTCTTGGATGGAGGATGAACTTGATACAGTTGTTTTTATCAAAACAACAACATTATTGATCAGCTTTAGCTAATTTAATAGTGTCTTATCAAGTCAATTTTTTATTTAATTTAATTAGAAATTCAATTTAGATTTCGCTTTGAATTTCAGATTTGTTTGGTCGACTTACAAAATTGAATCAACCTTCTAGTTGATCAGATTTAGCCAACTTCATAGAATTTTATTAAGTTAATATCTTATCTAATTCAATTAAAAATTCAATCTAATTCGGACTTTGAATTTTAGGATATTTTTAATTCAATCTAATTCGGACTTTGAATTTTAAATTTTCTTGATCAATCTGTCATTAAGACAAGTTTAATAAATATAACTGTAAAATCCAATGTAATCCAAATAATTAACTTGAAAATCCAACAACTTGAGTCCTAGATTAGATAAGGATAAATTTTTCAATAAAATTCATTTTGATTTCTTACTAAAAAATCAAAGAGTTAAATAGGAAGGTAACCGAGTTTTAATTGACACAAAATCAATTAACTGATGAGTAGTGCATACTACTATCTAGCTCAACAGACCAAACTATGTTGTGTTTATTTTGAGCTCACTCTCGATCTGAGAGTATGTGTTAAGAGAAAGAGGGAAAAAAAAGCATCGTGGTTTCCTAAATATGCTGTAATCCTTACTAAATAACCTTCTTAATTTTCCACTTTTTGTTGTTCAATTCGTTTATTAGAAATAATAATTAACCTGGGTTTCTAGACATCAATATTTCTAAATGGCCATGGATGAAACCTTCCATGGGGATCGTGACAGACGGCTACTCTGCATCCCAATTAGGAATGTTAGCAGTAGCTTCATTGACCATCTTTACGAGGGTAACCTGCAAGAAGGACAGGCCAAAGAACACATCAAAATGAAGAGATAAAAAATGAAAGTTATTAGTAATCTGTACAGGTCATTCGTTGTTATCACTCCAGAATGAGTTCACGGAATGGAGTTCCTACTGACAGATTACTTCTCTCCAGAGTTCATGGAATGGAGTTCCTACTGACAGATTACTTCTAGTTTGTTGAACTCCATATCATCCGTAAGGGTGATAGCTACATATATCCATGCTTCGATATGTTGCAACATGAATATGACTCTGAGCCGTCGAAACCGGCAGACAGTGATCACAACTGGCCAACAGGGAAACAGTTCAATGCTTCTAGCCTAGTTTTTTGGCCTGATTAAATCTTAACTTGACCATACTCTGCTGTGGAAAAGGTACCTAATCAGTCCCAGCCTCTTGCTTTACAGAAATTTCTGAAGGTTATAATTTAGAAAAAAACCCGACCATTATCAGGTTAAAAAGAGAAAATCATGAAAACTAGACAGACCTCAGTTCACATGCCAGAGGCCGTAGAATCGGGGCCAAATTTCAGCTTTCAGTGAATCAAGGTGAGAGGATTTTAAAGCAAGAACAATAGCACACCAGCTATTTTCTGCTCTAATCCTTCTTAAACTTTCACGAAGCAGATTACGAATGGGAAGTGTAAACATGGACGGTACCAGAATACAAATTTTGACGGAGCTGGGGCAGTTGCAACTCAGTAGCCTATGTTATTCTGTAATGTATATTTTTCAAACCCTAGTAGAGGGGAATAGACTATAACACTGCAAAAAATGTTATAATATTGCTCAAAACGTACCACACTTTCTGGAACCCCTGGAGGGGGCAAGGGGAGGTTTTTTGGCGGAGGCCCTCGTAGATATGATCTCTTGTCAAATCTCCACTCTCCAATTTTTCCATATGTTAGCTGACCCTGAAGATTATGTAACCTCAGATAACTAACAGGATGACAAGGAAATGGAAGATCGTGGATTCACAAAATTAAACGAAATGCGAAAAATTTTGCAGGTATAAGATCATAACTAGAATAACAATTCTTCTTCAATAGGATATTGTTTAATTTTACCTTTAAGTTGTAGTCACATCCATAAGTATAATGAATGATAAAAAAATTCCTAGTGCTCAGATCCCATGGGGGCTGCAGAATGAACATCTCAGAGTCATACAAACTGCTTAATGCACAAAATCAACATTGCATATAAAGTCCAACTGAAGCTACTAGAACTGGAGATATGATAAACTCAACACAAAGGGCTACGCAAGGTTTTGACTGGACCTGCAGCATAAAATCTTTCCGAAGAACATGCTGCACGTCATTCAAAGCTGCTGCTACAGCATATGCATACCTTAGTTCAGCGACCAAAAACAGGAGTGTCAAAAACCTGTCATCGGAGAGTTAATACAAAGTAAATAAAGGCCATTACTGTGCACTCACATTTCTAGTACCCATCCAAAAGCTTTATCAGTCTCCTTGTCATTTTTCATCTTCAAGGAAACATTCATCCATGTAGGAGCTATCTTTTCCAGAAGTTCCTGAAAATCATAAGGCTCAGAAAATAACTCATCTTTCATCCAACAGAAAAAATATAACACAACCGCAATTTTTAGAGAGTTACGACAATGAGAAATACAAGTTTATTTTCACCAAGTGCAAAAATTGGTATACTGTTTATATTTCAACAGAAAAATGGAATATCAGAACAAGTATAGCAGAAACTAATCATTGCAAAACAGATCAAAGGCAAGTTTGATACAAGGAGATACGGTATCTCGAGAGTAAACACCTTCTTGATAATTACAGGAGAGTTGCCAATTGGATCGATATCTGTCACAGGACCCTTCTCCTCTGGATAATACCTCCTTACGATATTTTCGAATTTAGCAGGTTCGATATAGAAAAATGGAAAAGCAGCCGGCAACCCTCCACGAGCTAGATTTGGAAGGGGATTCACAAGTATATGATCAGGCTCTGCCATTAATATATATCTGCACAGATTGCATTTCACCGCCATTAGAATATCATGGAGGTAAACGCATGTCAAGTAAAGATCATGGAAACTGAAAAGCTCACTCTTCCTCAATGGTAGTCTTTTCCAGCCACTGAACGAAGGCCCATGGTCTATTTAGGACGATGTAACCCTGGTTTACAGAATGGAAAGTCATATCACCACTATTGAAAAAATAGATTTGTGTGCAAAGAGCAGAGTATCAAAATCAACACACAAAAAGAAAGAAAAAAAAATCAAATCAGAAGATAGCATTCTCAAGAGGGGTAAGTTGCAGAATGGTCCGATTCAAGATAATTACATTACAAGCAAGTCATTTAATTCGACGACATATTAAACCATGACTTGTGAAGCCAAATCGGTGAGCTTCACAGAGGTTAGAAGGTAGTATATTTTGTTAGTATTTTAATGGTTGGCTGTTTCACTGCTAGAAATTATTCATGGAAGAAGCAACCTTTGACACCTTCATAAGACATGGTAAATGAGATGCAATTCATTAGCAGAGTAGGACGATCTAAAGTTCCATGTGCACAGTATTCTTCTATTCATAATAAACTTCCTGACTGAAGTACGAGTCTTGAATTACAAATAAATCACATCTACGTGCAGTTACATGCTATGAACCACCAAAATCCCCAAAGCCAAATACATTGTTCAGGTTCAGCCTTCCATTAAATAGTGAAATAATTGCAGAATGCCAACAATCTGAATCGGTTCCATCAGGATGGCTTGCACTTTACTGAAACATGCAGGCAAAATAACTCTTATTAGTAGAAAACCATGCATTCAAATGAGCTCCCTTACATTCCTTTCCTCAAAAACCAAATAAAAAATGTACAAGGGAAAGTCAAAAGCAGAACATCTTTTTTTCAGATTGTGCACTGCAAAGATGTTAGATTCTCAACAACAAGACGATATACCATAAAAGAAGCGAGACGTAACCAATAACAAGGGATGCAGGCTCTCTCCACAATGCGAAAGAAACAACGCAGGAAACTCACCCGATCGAGACCTGCAGGAAGAGGATCAACCACAACTGTAGGCATCTCATCCATCAAGTTGTCAGGCTTTCCAGAGTGCAAAATCCGTGTAAATCCTCCCATCTCCGACCCAGACAGGTCTCTGTTCTTCTTATACCAGTAGTACATAATGCGACACTGCCATTTGCTGTAGGGAGCATCAGTTGCTGTTAAGGCAACATGGAAGGGCATCCTGGCATTCTTTGGTTTCTTCACCTCTTCAGGCATTTCAATAACTGGATCGAAAAATGCCTCACCATCCGAATCGTCATACACCCATTTCCCAATAGATCTGTTGTGCATTGTCATGGTGACTAAGTTGTATGTAGCAAAGAAAAACCCAAAAGCTAATAGAATCAGAACTGGTGACGAAGCCTGTCCCATCGTCTCTCTCCCAGTTGTCAATGACGATCAAACCAGGATCCCAGATTCTCCAAACCACAAACAAATCAAGTGTCCAAGTCTAGGAACCTACCTTTTTCATTTTACCAGGTAGATAACACAAAAGTGTAAATATTTTGAAGCTAAATTACAAAACACAATGAGAAAATCTAAACAAATTTAATCTCTGGCAGTTAACCTGCATAAGAATTAGGACTAAAAATTAGTTTAAACCACGACCAGTACAAGGATACAAGGATCACAGCTACTCACCGAGACATTTGAAATGCTTATAAATTACAAATATTCCAGCCAACCAGTTTAGAACATGATGTGGATCCAAACTCAGAGCAAAATTACAATCAAATACAAATTGATCAAAGAAAATTCCAGGAAAAAAATATGAAATTGCCATGTTGAGAAAGAAATGACCATAAAACAGAAAATGATCTCATCGAATTCATTCCATAGACACATTAAACTCCTCCAGTGCAACACTTCAATGCAAACTAACACTGTTTTCTACCACACCAAAAAAGCCTTCCAAAATTATTTAGATAAAAACCCACAAAAACTCAACTCTCAAAAGCAATGTGGATAAGTACAGAGAGGTAGAATCAATCCAGTCATGTCAAATCAAGCCAGAAGATTCACATAAGCCTAGAGAGACATAAATAACCAAACTGCTAAAAGTGGCACACAATTCACAACGATACTCCTTTATTAGAAAAAAGAAAGATTGAAGGGTCATCCAATTCCCATGAAGGGTCATCCAATTCCCACACAATACAAACAAACAAGATCACTAAAATTCAATCCAGCTAGACAAACGCTGAAATGAGTATTTCAATAGCACCTTGAGAAGCCAAATGGACACTAAAAAAAAATAAAGAAAAAAACAGAAGAACGCATCACAGACAAAGAAAAACAGAAGGCAGAAACAGGGTTTATTATATCAAGATGCGTTCTCTAAAGAAAAGATTAAAAAACAAATAAAGAACCCACGGAGGTTTCTTGTAGCTGAATAAAGCATAAGGCAGGGGTACTTAGTAACCAATCACTATTATATTTATCATGGAAAAAGACAAAGCAATAATCTAAGAATTCACGAGTGGATCCTGATATGATGTCTCCAGACAATGATAGAGACAGGGATAGAGAGTAACGTACGATCCTGCTTGATGTTAACAGAGAGATTCGATGCTGATTTAAAAGAATTGAGGCTTTCTGCTTTCAGTGTCTGTTGTGTTATATATATATATATATATAGATAGAGACAGGGATAGAGAGTAACGTACGATCCTGCTTGATGTTAACAGAGAGATTCGATGCTGATTTAAAAGAATTGAGGCTTTCTGCTTTC